AACAATAAAATCATAATTGTGTATACGTATAGTACAGTTCTAAATGTGAGAAGTTAGATAGGAAGACGGACATTGAAGTGTCGGTTGAAATATAGTTTATTTTAGTTATTCAATTTCAGAAGAGCGGCATACGGCATTACCGATAGCTGGGTTACTGTGCGAGAGTATACAAGCTTGTGCTGGCTTCTTGTGTTAGATTTTGACACAAATCTACTGATCAGCTCGTATCACGGGTCAGTGACATCATTCATAATGTTGTGACAAAATGGTTCGCGTGGAATAAAATGTTTAGTTGCATTCTAGTTGAACTGTGAAAGCAGATGTAGGGCGAACTGAGTGGCATAGTCCTCTGAATACCGATGCACAGATGGGTATAGTCTGTACCCTGGCGATTAATTGGTGTCCCTTGGGATAAGAATAAAACATCATTTCACTTGAATGGGTTGATGCATATATGGGCAGTAACAGATCCATAAGAACTCGAAGATAGAGAATCAGAAATTAGAAATTCATGTGACGTTACGATCCACGGACCACGTCCGTATAATTAATGTGGTATCATTTGTGACTGGTGGGTCGTGGTGACAGGTGAAACGAGGGAACAGAGTCAGAAGAGCACTATGACGCACATAAAGACAGCATTGAGGTAAATCGAATGCTATCAGAGCAGTTAACAGGAACAATTAGATGTGTTCAACAAAGCCAAATCAAACCATCACCAGGATCTCAGAAGTGTGCGAAAACAGGACAAAATTTATTTACTGACGAGAAAACAGTGTTCATCAACTGTACCATGACATCCGAGGTCAAACGCTTTGCTTGCTGTGCAAATTATTCCTTGTTTGTAAAAAGTACGTGCTACACGCTTTGCGAGTTTTTAACAAAACAGGTGCATGCGACTGGATACTTTTTTCAAGGCACAAATCTTCCTCATGGCGTTCGAAATCTGGTGTCAGTTGCTATCACCAATCAGGGATCCTGTGATGAGCCTGCCAAGCTACGCAATCTCGAACTTTATTCGGTCGTTTTTGGTTTACCAAGTGCCTGCATTTGTTGGTTTTGCGTGCCCATTATCTACGCCTTATAGCAAGGTCCATGAGCACTGCATGCATGACCACGTTCGAAGGCTAGGCAAGTTATTAGAAGAACATGAAAATTCTAACATAAATGTATCTAAATATCACGCTTACGGCGAGGGGAGGCACCTCATTGACACAGGTGGATAATAACATGTGGACTGCGCTGGACGATCGCGTAAACTCTCTTAGCTAAATCTCCTGCTCAAATGCAATGATTACTCGATGCCAATGGGAGGTATCCGGGATTTTCACATTTATAGACGATGCTTTTTAGATCTGTTGCAAACATTGACATTAACTCCGTCGTGTTATCACTTACTCGTTCTTGTTGAGGTAACCCACCTTCGAAGGCGAAGGATCGCACACGATATTGTGGAATAAATTTGTCACGTACTGGACAATAGCTTCAGACAAACTCTTTCCTCGCTTTTTCTGTTTTGGTTGGTATAACCAGTTTTTCAGCTTCTCACAATTTTTTCCTTTTCAATAAACATCTAAAACTTACGGGCTCTCAAAATCTAATTTTATTGACTCGGCAAAATAGCGTTACCGTCCATTTTTCTTTTTTTTGAAATGCACATTCCCATCTTTCCAGGACGAGCAAACCGGATCACGTCTACATAAGCAACTCACCTCAGAGGCAAAGCAGTATTTCATCACCCAGGTGTTGCAGAATGGCTCTGACTTTAGGTAATTCTCTTCGCCCACTTTGCATTTGACTTTTATGTTTCTGAACCGATTGATTATCCAGCATTTACGCTTGTTCGAACTAATTCATTTCTGATGCCAATGTGTTTCAATTCATGGTTCGATGCATCGAGCATGACTGTGGTTTTCTGACTCCTTTTGTCCGACTTCTCCTAAGACGTGTTTATAGGTGTTCGATGGTCCGATGCACACACACTGGCCATGAGTGCACTGAATGTCACGTTTTAGGATTCTGTTGACTGTATCTTGAATTTGATTTTAAAACTCGTCTACTGCCAATGCACGCACGAAAATGATTGAAGTACTGAGAGTCTGTCATTTGGCACACGCGATGATGATTCTAGGAGAAATGGTTTCCCATGCAATCAGGACATTCATTAGCCGTATAATTCGAAATGATCAGAGCTAGTAAGACGCATTGGTGTGGAGCAACTAGACTCATTTCGATTCCAGATTGGAAAATCAAACTTCCGGATGTCAAGCCGTAGTTGTATAGTGTGTGTGTGTGCATCGTGGCGCATTGACCCCCGAGGGTCTTGAAATTAAATGTAATACATCGTAGTTTTAGGCCTTGACACCCCGGAAGCGGGGAGAGAACAGAGCGCTTCGCTTCCTGGGGACGTCCTAGCATGTGCGAGGTATGCATCTGGGATTTGATCCACAAAATCTTGTGCTACTCTCCATTCGTAATTTCGCGCTGCAGCTCTGGAATAGTTATTTCACCACACCGTGCATGCTATCTCTTGTTTCTTGTTCTACTCAAACAAGGAATCGGATTAGTCGGAACGGGTTAGGTTTCGAATGCATAACATGACGTCGCTAGATCCATATTTCTTTGATGGCACATTACACGGAACAACTTATCTGCAGTTGTTTTCAACGTTGGTAACACAGTTTATTCAACCATTGAACCCAGAGTAAAGACAGGATTTATTTCCAGCAGAATGGTGTAGTCACCCATTATTCGAGAACTCGATTTGACGAAACACTGGCAAAAATAGATTGGCAGAGGTCACTCAGATCTCCAGATTTGGCTCTGTTATATTTATTTTATAGAACCGCCTAAAGTCTGCTGCCGGCCACGCTCACATACGTCACGATTCTATCAACGGAAACTTGAGACTGCTTTTGTCACAGATAGATAGCTTTACAGGCTCATACCCACCTTTTTCCTCTATCATCGTCAGCGACTGTTTGTTCGGTGAAACAATATCCATCTATGCGTAGTTTTCCGCCCAAGTGACTGTTATCCTGTCCGCTACCTGGAGAAGCACCCAATAGCGGGTAGATTCTTGCTGACCCATTCCGCTGGAGACAGCTCTCCGTTGTGGGTACGAAAAAGGGAAACAAGATTCGATTTCTGATTTGGTGCTTGGTTTGGTTGTTTCCTTTGCCAGTAACTACACATACAAAAGCCTATGCCACCCTAGCTGCCAAAAGTATTGTGTGATTGCCCTTGATTAATGGGTGGTAGTGGCGTGCTTTGGACCGTATGGTTCGAAGTTCGAGCCCCGCCACTGCCATCCAACTTTGGTGGTAAACAGCTGTGCTGTCGCCCGATTCTGTATCACGCCTAACCTAGACGAGCCTTATGTGGTTCGCCACTCCAAGTCCCGGTGTTTGGGTTTCGATCACTGAACAGCAGGATTTCGTGACTATGAGGTTCCACTACTTCTGCTGTTCATCACACCTGTGTGTATTGATGTATAAATCCGCGACAGTTAGTTCATTTTTGGAACTGTTTCCCCAGCTGTCCGCGATATATAAACTATATCTATCTATATTCTATGTAATCCTAATGCCATAAATTCACGGAAATAATGATGTTTAGGAACAGAGAGACATCTCATAGAAACGGAAAACGTCATGCTTTGTAATTTTTGAGCAAAAAGAGTGTAAATAACCGATATCACCTCGTTTACCTCAAACCGAACAGCGAAGCCATAACATTTTAAGGTCGAGAAAATCCTTTTAAGTCATGCAAACAGTTAAATTATGAGATACCCAGATTAGGAATTGAAATTCTCTTGAAGGGTTGCACTCAAAACCTAATCCACCGGGTAGCTAATTAGTGTCAGATGCTGGTATTCCATGATTGTCTTGCAATAAGTGTCAGGGCTTCATAAGCCACGAATGAGTCTTCGACTCGCGAGTAAGGTGGCCAGTGGCCTTAGTTCTTCCAAGCCAATGATATCACGACATCGTGATTGGGTTCATATCTTTTGACGCGGTACCAGCCTGAGATCAATCACACCCTGATAGTTCCGTCACTGTTTGCTCCCAACTGTTTCAGTTGCTGTTCCTTTTATGGGTTTTCTGTGTTTAACACCTATCTGTATTTTATTATTTCACACGGCCCGTTGAAATGTTTTCGCCTGTGATTGTTTGTTTCTGTTCCCGTTCTCTTTGTGCACAAGACCGTCACCAGGTACGGTTCTACATCAATTGCTTGCCGAAATTGAACAAAATCCTGACTCCATTCCAAGTGTAGCGGAGTTTCGTGCTGGAGAGCAATTCCTTAAACCTGATGATGGTGAGTTCAGTCTTTTCCTCTCCCTCTCTCTCTCGGGTTTAAAACTGAATAGCATTTATGTTTCATTTATTTCTTTTTTCAATCGGATCTGTCGGCGTATTGTCGTGAAATCGGTTTTGACAATAGGTTAAATGTTGAATATGTCGAATGACCTTCAGGTAGATGAAATCCGTTTCTGGTCCCTTCCGTGTGCACCTGACAGTATCTACCAATTAAGCCTTTGTATCGAGTTTGTTGAAGTTCAAAAGAACCTATGCCCGAAATATTATCAAGATGTCACCGTGTTGTATGTAAACGACGGATGACAGTAACGACCGAGCGAGCAAGCACAAGCAGTCAAGCGAGTGTGCAACGGGACACAACCCGCCCCACGTTCCGGACCAGCCAGTGTAATCACTGGCTGGCGCGATTCCGGAAAATCGAAGCGCCCCCGCTGAATTACGATCGTCAAACCCAACCAACAAGTAAGGCAGATCTTCAGACGAGTTTGTGTATTCGACCCTACCAAATGGCGATTTGTGTGGATAGCTCGTCAGTTCATATACCGTTTGACGACCGGCTATCGATGACATTGGAAAATAGTTCGAAAATCCAGAAATTTTGGAGAATCCGACCATTCACGGACAATCATCGCTGGTGATACAAAAAGAGGTCTTTTTGGTCCCCAAAAATGGAAATTTGGCTTTCATAATAATCAGTAAAAATACAGAAATGAAATGAAAATAGTCCAATCTGAAGGGGAAATTTGACGTTTTCTTACCACACCTAGTGTTTCTTCGAATTGACTTATTCGCCTAATGCTCTTCTGAACTACAATTAAAGAGATTGTGGGGGAAATTCATCAGCGGCACCTCAGTAAGTGTAGGCGAATACGAATATTGGTGTTTTCTGAATACCGCTGCCTCGTATCAGAGAAGCTGGTCGACATGGAGCGGTGCTCAGTTTTGTCTCACTTGGAGCACTCGAAGTGAGAATCAAGCAATTCAGTTAGTGTTGATACAACAAAGGCATTCCATTGCCTGCGTTTACCTGTAACTTGCTACTAGAAAACTGTGATTGTCTAACTTATTTTCCGTTTTGTCAACGCTTTTCAATACAGTGGTTGCCTTTGCAGTTTTAACCCATAAGCCGTCATATTTGCTCCGGTGGAGAGAGGTGTCCACAGACATGGAAAAAGGTGATCACATTTCCCCGGATTCGATTTGTCTTTTGAAAGGTGGTCATGTCAGATATTAGTTCGATCTGGGGTCTTTTTGATCGAATATCTGTACAATAAGAACGTTATTCCATTGCTGGTAGCATCCACAGCGTCATCCATTTGTGTATGCTGTTCTGATTTCTTGTGACAGATGAATCGTGGCTTTATATCACCCCAGACGAGTTGGATGCGATGCTCTTGGATCGGGCTGGTCTGAAACCCGGTGAGTCATGTAGCGCAAATCGTGGTCACAAATACAAGGATAAGGGCGACCATGACAAACAGATACCGATAGCACAGCTGCTCGACAAACTTGTCGGTGCTTCTTCTTCATATGAAGGAATTGAAGTTAACACAACCAGGTAAACAACTGTGGTGTCATATTCCGTTTTTTCTTCCTGCCCGACAGTTTGATTCTCTCTCTTGTAGCGTTGACTTTTACTAGAGTTCATCCTCACGCGCATTCCGCACTTTAATCTGTCACCCATACACTCGGGAAGCACGAGACTCAATTTTTCCCTTGCTGAAGCTCATTGGTGATTCATATATGTGCTGAACTTGGGATCCCTTTCACTAAGGGTGTGTGTTACATCCTCACCAACCAGCTTACACACCGATACTGACCAGAGTCAAGGATTGACGTTTGTTCTCATATCAACCCTAGCCAATCAATGGTTTTATTGACAACCCTAAAGTGGACAATATTTTATCAGTTAACTTCCTTGTTATGCCTCCCACCCAATCTATTCCTAGTTTCATTATTGAAGTTCACATCAATTTTCATTTTTAACTCCTAGTTTCTTGTGACAAAGTTCGTTGAATATCTGATCTGATAAACGGCTTGAGAATGAGGCTAACAGATTGCATGCCTGTATCCTATGCAGCACGAGACTGCACCTAGATGTGGTGTGATGGCTTGTGCACCTCTCTGACCTAACGAACTACACCGGATGGCTTTTATCAAGCCGCAGATCTAATCATGCCTGGAAGGTCGAGGGGTAGAGGTCAGACGGAGTCAAGTCTCCTGGTCGTCCAGGTTGGGGGTTCGACTCGAGTTAGCGTCTCAGTCGGTAAAACGGTAGAGGAGTAATTGATCCAAATAAATGGGCCTCTACTTCGCTTCACCCGCTGCCTTGCGGTCAGGTTCTTGTTAGAACTAAAGGTTTTGGACGAGAACCCTTATCGTTCTCCTACTTAGTGGCTGGACACCCTGGCAGTACCCGTCCATCAAACTCTAATGCATACACAAACAAAAAATAATTCCATACTGCATCGGTCGTCACGCAGGTTAATCAGGACCGCGCTTCCCATTTCATCGAGCGGGGTTAGTAGTGATAAGTGGGCTACTGCTCAGATATCCCAACCTTTGTTTAACTCTTTGTCTTCCGTACCCAACTCTCTCCCTTTACCCCTTCTTCCAACCTCCCTCAGACAACTTGTTCGTCACTCACCAAAGTTCGCCGCCAAGTAGCCAAGTACGTAGTTTACCACAAAATAAATTGCAGATTCTAAAGCCTCGTCAGCCCCTGAATCTGGAGGCCTTCAGCATGAGGACTTTGATGCAGATAGGTCTGGCGCGTACAATGGACTATTTTGGGATCGATGTCTGTTGCGTATCGGAGACGCGAATCCAGGATCCTAGTACTATAAACCACTTAAGTGCACCGGGGTTGTCTTCGAGGTTCTTCCTCCGCGTGTCAGGTGTGGATAAAGCCCGTTCAGTAGGCCAGCGTGGTGTGGGCATTGTAATCAATAATAAAGCCGAAGCTGCACTACTCGACTGGATCCCCATCAATAGTCGTTTATGTGCGATGCGGCTCCGAGGGTCCATCAGCGTCCGGAAGGGTGGTAACACTAAAAGCTGTTTTTTCATTATTTCGGCACATGCGCTAACCAACTGCAGTCCTACTTCACAAAAGAACGAATTTTACGACAAACTCGCCGAACTCATTCGGTTGAGCCGCACTTCTGATATTATAGTGCTAGAAGGTGATTTCAACGCACAGGTCGAAAAACTGAGCGCATCCGAAGCTTGTCTAGGAGGACACTTTACCCTCCCGCCCAGCGAACAGACAACGGTGATCGATTATTTTATTTCTGCGCGGATCATCGGTTGTTCTTCTCTAGCACCAACTTTCGAAACAGCTCTCATCGAACGGCTACATGGCGTTCTAGTTCAACGGGAATGTTGATTCAAATTGACCAAATAGCTATAAGCTACCGTTGGCGCGGTTCAGTACAAAATTTCAGGTCCTATTGGACTACCTGCGTTGAGTCGGACCATACACTAGTTCTGATGCGCTTCACTCATCGGCCATCGGCAGAAATTGCCTCCTTAGTTAGCTCATCATCGTCTGCGCGATCCATCTGTCTGCGCACGTTATAAGGAGAAGCTGGGACATGAGCTAGGAGAACTGCGATATAGTGGAGTAGACCAACAGTGGTGATCTAATGCGTAACATCCGGTCACATGAGCTCATTCCATCATCCTGGAGCGAATCATTGGTTGTTTCTATTTTTAATACGATTGCGCAAACCGCTGTGGAATAAGCTTGATCCCAATCGTCACCAAGTTACTAGCCTCCATCATACTTCGACGTCTGACACCGTTTAGGGAGATAAATATGCGCGAACAACAAGCAGGATTTCGACCATGCCGCGGGTGTGTCGATCAAATCTTCACTCTACGTCAAGTCCTCGAGCTACGCCATACGCACCGTCTGCCAACGGTTGTCGTGTTTCTTGACCTAATAGGAGTCTTCGACTCAGTTGACCGCGAATCACTTATGGGTTCGCTTCTTCCCAAAGGAATGCCGCAGAAGTATGTATGTATGTATGCATGTATGTATGTGATCATATTAAGTTCACTCTACAGACATACTTCTGGTAGTATAAGGGTCGTTCGTAACTAGCAGCGGTGTTCGTCAAGTGTGCCCCCTTTCGCCATTCCTGTTCAATTTCGTCATAGACGAAATACTGGAGAACACACTAAGTGGTCTCCAAAATGTAGGTATTGAATGGGCAGCTGGAGAAAAGCTGCGTGATTTTGAGTTTGCCTGTTCGAATCTATGGAGGATGCGCAAAGGGCAGCTAAGAGATCAGCAAGTGCTGTCGCTCCGTTCGGCATGTGCTTTGCACATTTAAAGTGCAAAGTGATGCTGCAAGACTGGGTGCCGCCGAGTTCCGTTCTGAAACTAGACTGTCAGGAATTAGCTGAAGTTGACTGCTTTTCGTACTTAGGTAGCTGCGTGACCGACGACGGTAGCACATTAAAGGAGATGACCGCCCGCATTTCCAAGGCTCGAGCAGCATACGCAGGACCTAAACACCTGGCAGTGACGTGACGTTTCACTGAAGTTGAAAAGTCGCGTATACTGCGCCACTGTACGATCGGTTCTGCTGTACGGTTGTGAAACCTTGAATTTGCGGGTTGAAGACACCCGTCGTTTAGCAGTGTTCGACAATCGATGCCTACATAGTCTGGCCCAAGTGGGATGGAGTGAGCGAGTTGGTAATTTAGAAGTAAGTCGTCGGGTGTTTGGGAATACCTCAAACAAGAACTCGCTATCTCATCAAATCCAGCTCAATAGGCTCGGTTGGTTAGGACACGTTTTGTGTATGTCCGACTGTCGCCTACCGCAGCGCGCCTTATTCGTGGTGGCTGTTGCAGGCTGGAGAAAGCCACGTGGAGGCTATCAAATGACGTGGAAACGAGGCATGAAGAAATGCACAGAGCGGTTAGGTAGAGTAGGTGTCTCTCGTTTTTCAGGTTGAGATCCAAAAGACTCCGAAACCGCATGGTAGGAGATACTAAAGACCATGGCCCCGAACCGACAGAAATAGCGATCATGCTGTCACTTCTTATCAAACCAGAATGCTTGAAATAGTGTGTATGCACAGCTGGGCTGTTTACTCTGTGTTGACCATAGAGGTTCACTTTCTTTTCCCTTCCCTGAGAATAGGTCCAATCCCTGTCCTTACACATTATCACTTACCTTCTATACAATATGAGTTTAGCAGCAATCAGTGAAGTTCGCTTCACTTTATAACGCTGTACAATGATGATGAAGGATGATGATGCCTGTGTCCACCTCCGAAGGCGTTTGGCCCACCGCCTAACTATCTCACAGACAACAAATGAACAATTTCGAATCTATATTTTTATTGGTTCTAGTGTGCAACCTAGCTTTCTCGCTCGTAAAACAATGCACCATCCATGCTAGGAGTCCGGAGGTGAAATATCTGGATATATACCACTGATGACGAGGATGATAGCGAGAACAAAACTCGAATCTAGCGCTTCCGGAATATATAGTTGAACGGATGAATTCCGAATTGCACGTACACATTTCGTATGATCGATAGGTGATCAGTGAAAATGAATCTTACCAAACCGGTACTCATAAGTAATCGCGAGTTGATAATAAAAGTGCTGGCATCAGTGTAAATTGAGCGAGTTTCTTCTTTCAACCGTTTCAAGCAGTTATCTAATCCGGTCAAACTCGGGTGATTTGATAATGTAATAATGATGCTAGTGTAAATCCAGAAATAAAATCTAACGAGCTTTTGTTATGATTTCTTGACACAATGGAATGAGTGTTACCCAAGACAGTCGTGTTTTCATGTATCCGTTGGAGTGATTGCTTGTTTCCAACCAGCATCTTTCGCGGTTGCAGGATGAGGTTAATGTATTGAATCGGTCAAATTTCGCAACCAATGAAACATTTAAATAAGCTGGAAAATATTCATACAAACCGTATCACACAAAAAATTGTTTACAGAGAGCATAAAGACATTTCAAGGTCAAGAAGTATTTCACTTGTTACCCTCTTTTTGTTCGTAAGTAGCCGTTCAAGTTAGTTCACATGCAAATTTCGGTGAGCATTTATGCGAGGTGACACTTCGAAAAAATCGGAGCATGCGGAGGGCTAGGGGCGACATTTCATTTCTGCATGCAAATATCTGCGAGAATCCTTTTCGCAAAGTCGTCACAAGTTGTATAATAATCTGAAAGTTTTACAGTTAACTCGTTCACGGGAATAGAAGAAAGTCGGTGGACCGCGGCGTAAGACTTGCTTCAATAAACTGGAGAAAATAACTGAGGGTCAGTAAAGTAAGGTGGTGAAGACGCCGGTATGCAAATGTGCAGCTAAGTGACTGGGAAGTGTGCAACTGCTTATGCTTCCGAATTCAAAGTGATAGGCGCCGCAGTTGACAGACTAAGATTATTATCTATGGTTACACCAATATATTTGACGGATTTCACTTTGTTGTTTATTACTGTGGGATCTGTCGGGAATGAAGAGCGGATAAACTGGGTAAACACTCACCGAATTTGCTGCGATTTGAACTTAACCACGATCGGGAGGAGAAGAAGAACTTATCTCGAGGAAGGCTATCAGTGAACGAACATAGATCGGATGAAGAAGAAATGGTTTGTCACAGTACAACATCAGATGGCGGAAATAAACTGGAAATCATTGCAATCCGAAATGGCTCACTGTGTCCAGTCTCACTACCCGGTATCTCTCGCTATGCGATGATATATGATGTCCTCTCGTTTCACGGGTTCTCGCGTCGATTAGTTGCCGTTGCCCATCGTTTTCTAACAACGATTGACTTTTCAGTAGCCACTTGTTATACTTTAGCACCGACGGCCGAGAGGAGGCACAGACACATTTCCGATCCACCGGTACCGTTTGGGGTCACAGCAAGTCTAAATTTTTACGTGAATCGACAACCTAGCATTGGTGACGCGAAAATTTCCCACTCTGTTAGGCGAGAAGACAGCTTCAATGCCTATGGTTTACTAAATAAATATCATTTAAGTGTGCTAATATGTAGCTTCATCGGTTTTATAAATTTTTCGCACCTTAAATAAAAAGTAAAATAGTGCCCCTGCTGAAATAACAACGAGATTTTCAAGTGTATTCGTTAACGGTGTCGGTATTTATTTTCAGCAATACTTCAATCCACCGATGGGTAATAGCAATAATACTAGCTGATTACCACGCTGCTAATTATATTCCGACTTGTATTTCTTAATTCCATTGAGAAAGGGTTAAATGTGTTTACACGATCAATGAAAAAAAACGTTTGCAGTTGTTTATCCTCCGTTGCAAGAGATAATTGTTAACCTGTTCTCACTCACCAATCACAGATCTGGTTCGAAACGTAAGTCTGGTCCAGGCGATACGAATGAAGACGCTTTGACGGAGGATGACGACAGTGGCGAGGGAAGCGATTCAGACGACGCCAAACCGTGGGATTTGATGTCGGAAGATTCTGAGGACGGCTTTGCCGAATGTAGTCGCGCCCAGAGCAAAGGCAAAGGGCAACAGACAGAATCGATGAACATGTACGATATGATGCGTTCGCTTCTCAGCAAAATGGGTAGGTCCTTGTTCGCCTTCCACAGTTTTGGGGAGTACACCAATTGATGAACATCAGTGTGAAACACGTGGCCTTCAAGTTACACCAACTTCTCTAGATGAAGGGGCCATGCAGTTTTTGGTGGAATTCAGGTCAACGTTTGCGAATTCTGATATAATAATCACTTGCTCAGGATTGAGTGTTCGTAAGTTTTTTTTTGGTACAATTGCTCACCGTTATGTACCAAGCAATAAGGCGAGTCTTCCCCGTAGTTTCATGGAGAAATGGACTGCTGAACCACATACAGTTCCAACAAGATAGACGTGGTTTTGAATTAACCAACAGCTAAGTTAAATCACCAAGGTTGAATGACGGTAACCAGGTTTGAATCGTGAATCCTGTAGTTTGTGGTATGCTAGTGACTAACTTGAACCGTTCGACCGCCGCCACTACCATCATACATAACCTTGGTTAACAATTTTCTCCATAGTCAACCGAATTTTCGGATGTTTTTGTAACCATTCTTAAGGGGTTTCAGTAGTCGCCATTAACGTTCTGTGTTTTTATCGTGTTTGTGTCTCATATTTATCAACAAACATTTTTCACGATAGTCAGTTGGTTCTGTCAGTTCTTGCAACCCATGACCATACACTTCGGTGCGCCGGTTCTCGTTGCTGTTCTATGTATAAAAGAGCAGAATGAAGATTCGAGTTGGAAGATAGAGAAATCATGTAGACTAATGTTACAAGAATAATGAGTAGATGCATGAGCGCTACTGTTTGCGACACCCA